GGGGTTTGTGGTTCGATTTTTGAGAAGGCGCGAGTTTTCGACATTCAAACGTTCATAACTTTCTTCATAATCAACTTTTTGCAGATGTCTAAGGCTAATTAGAAACTAGAAGATTAGAGCTTTCGAACAAGCACCTGAACTTTTTTCCAACGATCTCTCAAAAAATAGTCCCGTTGTTCCGTTTTGGGGGGTTTGTGGTCCGATTTTTGAGAAGGCGCGAGTTTTCGACATTCAAACGTTCATAACTTTCTTCATAATCAACTTTTTGCAGATGTCTAAGGCTAATTAGAAACTAGAAGATTAGCGCTTTCGAACAAGCACCTGACTTTTTTTCCAACGATCACTCTCTCAAAAAATAGTCCCGTTGTTCCGTTTTGGGGGGTTTGTGGTCCGATTTTTGAGAAGGCGCGAGTTTTCGACATTCAAACGTTCATAACTTTCTTCATATCAACTTTTTGCAGATGTCTAAGGCTAATTAGAAACTAGAAGATTAGAGCTTTCGAATAAGTGCTAAAACTTTTGAAATAATCACTCGCTCAAAAAATAGTCCCGTTGTTCCGTTTTTTCCACCTTGATTTTTTTCAAGCCATTTTCCTGGACCGCGACTTTGCAATCTTCAAAGGCCCATAACTTCCTTCAAAATTCATGTGATGAGAAGCGGTAAAGACTGTTAGAATCTACGCGAAGAGTACTTCAAAAAAGTGTAAAATTCCCTGAAATTCTTTCTTCTGCCTCAATTTCCTAAGGGGTTTCTAGAACTCAATTCAGCAAGTTCGCTACACTTTGTTCCGCTTAGATTTGATTTGAAAGCATCAAAATTTCTTCAGGAAGTTTGTCTGCTTACGGCCGCTGACAGAGAAGGCGTTTTTATGGGAAAACGCCTGCTCGGGTATACGCCGTGCACCTGTCTGTGGCAGAAGTCGCACTCGCATTTGAAAGTCCTCCATTTTCCTGAAGAAGGTGTTAGTATCGTGATTGAGTTGCATTGTACTGTTATATGGTACTCTTGTTTCACTTCCCCATGAACTGCTCTACACTTTGTTCTCCTTGGGAATGTTCGATCATCGAAGACAGACCATGTTTTTGCACTACGCTGTAACAAAGTTTTTGGCTATTGTAATCTTGATCTATGCTGTCGAGCGAAAGCGCCGTCCGTGTATTAAGGATAATAATGGCTGATAGTGAGACTTATAATGCTCTGCATGCTCTAATGCTCCCATGGAGCTCTTGTCTGTGTGACTCTCCGACAGCACGTGCAGAGCTCCTGGAGAACATTAGAGGCTGAAAGTGCACTCCCGGACACTGCACTTTTCAAGCCGTCTTGCAGCCGTCTGTGGATACGACCCCCTCCCTTTTCGGTCGGCTGAATACGACCCCCTCGTTGTTCTTTGCGCAACGCAGCGGTTGACCCTGGT